AAAAATAAACAAAGCCCCTCAACGCAAATTTAATATTTTGACATTTTAAGAACAGTTTGTGATGTAATAAAAAAACATTTGACGTAACAATAACGGCAAACAGAAATCATATTTCTAAGAACGGTATTGCACACGTCGTTTCTATTTTAACAAGTATTTCAAGAAGTCAAAAATACATGAATATTTGACGTTTCATTGGCAATACGTACATTTCATAACTACGGCTTTGGCGCATATCGGAAGCAACAGACGACTCGAAACATTGTTTCAAATTGCCGATTGATATACCTTGTTTGCAACGGTAAAGCAGCGATACCAGTAAATTCAATTGAGTCGGATTTGTTTAATATTATTTTGGTCATAGGTTTTGAACAGGCGTCCAAGAGGCAAGCTTATAAGTGGGGACAGGTAGATAATCAGATGAAAGTCATGCATAGAAGCCAACAATAGAAATCAGTTTTTACTTTTGAGAGTTTTCTCGCGACTTCGGCCCGAGTATGACCATTATAGTAGCGACCATTTAACCTTATTACGTAGTACGGCACTTTGGCGTAATTTAAATTCTCCATAGTTGTCATAGAAAATGTTCGCGATATATAGCTTCTGAATTTCTGATGTGTATTGGAAGTAAAAGTGGGTTTTGTAGCTTCAGGCAGTTATGGGCATGGCTATAAATTACCGGAGTATTTTTTTATAAGTTTCAAACAAAGTTTGTCTATATAATAACACTATATTTGTTATTTTTTCAAAATTCAAATTACCCTAAACTTCAATTCCGTTATAAAGCAAATAGTTCGCCAATTTCGATGATTTAATTTAATATAAACTTAAAAAATTTTGAGAATTTAATGGCGATTACCTGTGAGGGAAAGATAATTAGTTTTTTTTTCATGTAAATAATTTCAAACGCGGGCAACTAAAGAGAAGTTTGTGAAAGCGATTAGTAAGGTTCGCCCACCGTTTGTTGAAACTAACAGCTATGATTAGGAACATGTTTAGTCAGTGGCATAATTAATGTAAATTGGATTATTTGTTGGAGCATAAAGTTATATTCATTTTATTATTTCGAAAAATGTGAATTTATTGTGAAATTGAGTTAAGTTCGTGCCTTACTGCTTTATATATATAACAAGAAATGACCTGAAATTATGGCCTTACCCTAGCCTGGTACACATACTACATTCCGTTGTCCGCCATCTTGGTCCACATACTTCGGGGCTACCGTCTGTAGTACATATTCAATATTCAAAATATTGTCGAATGCATTTGGATAAAAAAAATATTCGGTTTTTTCATCTCCTATTTTTGACGTCATATATATGCATAATTAGTGCTAGATTTCTTTTCACAATTTCTCGGATATAAAGTTGCTTTTTAATCGTTTGGCGCGTAAGTGTGAAATCAACTGAGCTTGGATAGTGCAATAATATTATATGGACATAATCGACCATAAACATAAGATGAAGTTTGGAATGCGAATAAATATTTGGCAAGTACGTAATGCTAAAGATTCAATCATGGCAGTGGTGGAAATAGAGGCAAGAGAAATCATTTTATGGTTCCAGAAAACGCCATTAGGATTTTTGGCAAGAAATGTAAGGTAAAAGGCAGATTCATTCTAGCTATGTCCAGTTACAGAAACGTATAAGTCTCAATCCTTGCTGTTGACATATAGGCATAACTGTTGTGGTTATTTAAGCTTTAGTAGAGTCGTAAAAAACGTCACGAGGAATTTTTTGGTAGGAAAATGTAGAATAGAAAAACAGATGTATTTATTCGAGTTCTATTTAGTTACCTGGACAAAATTTAGATTTAATTCGTTATCTCACGCAAGTTCTCAAAACAAGGCGTTGGGCAAGCAACGACAGTGATATCGAGTAAACTACTTTACACGAATATTCTGAAGTATGTGAACCAAGATGGTGGACACCGGAATGTAGTATGTGTACCAGGTTAGGGTTAGGCCATAATTTTATTCCAATTTTTACTTATTTTGGTTATATTATAAGTTCGGGGATTGTCTGTGTTAGCCAAGTGAATATACCCCCTGCCTATAGATTTCAGTCCCTTTACACAACTTGATGTAAAGTAGACGAACAAAATTAGTTACCTCCATATTGGTACACATACTTCCGGAGCGCCAAATTTACTATAGACAGGCACAGCGTGAGGGAATGAAAATTCGGTGCGAAGTGAAAGCCTTGGCGAGGATGAGCTATCTTGCTGTGAATTGAATCGCGAAACAGATTCTCTATATGCCCGTGAATCTGTGATTTTATACTTAATCCTTTGGCCGGAGTTGGCACAAACTTTGAAGAGCGCATAGTTAATAAAACAAACAAATAAACATGCTGATACAAGGTCGTAACTTTGTGTTATTTAGAAGTTTATAATAAACTGTTATTGCAATTGTATCGCCATATACAGATCCATTTAAGCTTTAGACGTGAAGGTATTTTGAATGAGGGATATGTATATATGTAGGCTATTTTGAATATTTCGGGATACACTAATTAAAATTTTATTGAGTGCAAAAGCTACAAAAATTGTTATAACAGAGAATAGAGCAACCAACATGATATTAATTTAGACAGAATTTTTTATTTCTAACGAAGTCAAGTTGTAAATTCACAGATGAACATTTTGGTTACGATTGCCGTCGGACAGATATTAGCAAGCGCGAAATATTTTGTGGTGTATATGTAGCAGTGAAATTCACCTTTTACGAATATTTCAAATTGTGTTCTGCTATGGGTAAATCCCGGAACATATGAAAAACACCTCAGAATTTTTTGAAATATCAATAGAATAAACGCAAATTTTATAGAAAATGAAAATTCAGAATATCTTAAATATATCGATTTCGATTCGATTTTGATTCCTTTTTAAAAACTCGAGTTTTCCAAATGCAAAATATTTCTGTTATTTGAATAAAGGGGAAAATTTTAAACAAAAACACTGGGAATCACCTTTACGAATATTTAAAATTGTGTATAAATGTAATTTAAAAACTCTTATTAAACCATTCCATCCTTCGAATTGAGGTAAACTGCATGGAATACGGAAATGTAGAATATCATTTCGGACGCTATCAATTTGGATACTTCTTAAAAACTCGAGTTTTTCAAACGCGGAACATTTCTTCTGTTGTTTGACGAAAAAGGAATTTTGAACACACAAATTCCTAAAATATATCGATTTCGCATGATATCAATTTCGATAATTCTTTAAACCTTGCTATTGAGAAGACGAAAAAATTGTTACTAGTTTACCTTGCATATTCGTTCTGCATATAATATGTCAATCGATGGACCTGACCCTGACATAGACAGGAAATTGAAGAAACATGAAACTTTCGATCGTGATATTTGGTTGGTTGAAAATTCGAAATGTATAAATCTCCTCTTTGATAAAAATTCGAAAAACGAAACGAATATTCGATTTTGATATAACATTGTGGGACTCTCTAGAAGTATGTATACCAATATGGAGAACTAATTTTAATCGCCTACTTTACATCAAGTTGTGTAAACAGACGGAAGCCTATGGGCAGGGGGTATATTCACTTGGCTAACACAGACAGTCCCCGAACTCGTAATACAATTAAAATAAGAAAAATTGGAATAAAATTATGGCCTAACCCTAACCTGGTACACATACTACGAGAGTAGCCATTGTAGTAAAGACTACGAACTCAGTTGCACAAAAAGATGGAAATGTGTTATACAGTCTGTCGATTTACCCCACAAAATGAGTACTGTACCTGATGTAATTCTAAATCCGCTCTATTACTGTTTATACATGGTGTCCAAAAATTACCGATTTTATAGTAATACCAATTAAAAATTTTTTGTCTTTGTTTAGTAATAGTTCTTATTGGTGCTTGTAGTTCTCATTTATCATACAATAAATTGTATTCAAACATAAAATTGTTATTAGTATAATAGCAAGCGAAATTTTTAGGACCACCCTGTATTATTGTTGAACAATTATGTTTTTTAACCGCTTTTAAAAGTCATTGACCATCAAAAAAACACGACGCCATAAGTTGCGATTCTGATTCTTTTAATCCTAAATTAGACGCCAATACTCAGGCATTTGAATAGCACGCGTCACGTCTCGACAAATCAGAGGATATCAGGTAACTGTAACTTTATAACAAGCGTACTTGGCCTTGGCCTCAAGACCACCCAAAGTTACATGTTTATACTGGTGACGTATGTCGTAGGAAAAGCTCTAAAAGAGTTTCAGTAACAAAGTATTTAGACCGAATTCACAAGGGTTTAACTTCAAAGGAGAATTAGATAAGATGCCACTTCAGCCATTTCAGAAGATAGCTCCCCAACGAAAAGCTATCTGGGATAAGTGAATTAAAACATGGCGGCTTGGATCAGTGGATAAAGTCAGAGGTCCTAAATGAGCAGCCGGGATATACAAAGGATTTACGGTAGACAAGGTTCGATCTATGAAGATTTTGGGAATCGAATATCAGAATTAGGCTTACTTGCATAGCAGTAATGAATGTTGGCATACATTATGATTCTGTATCTCAGTAGATTCATAAAGAATGATTTGAAATTGAAATGGAGAGAAGAGTTTCAGAACATCAATCTGACTATGGCACTATAGTATGCCGTGTGTTTTTTCAGCACCAATCGTAATTGTATTCCTATTTCAAACATTGCCAAATACCCTTCCCTTCGTTCAAATAATCTGTCGGAATAGACGTACTGGATAAGAAATTCAGTTCTACTGTTGACTCCCAGTCTATCTAATTTTGCTCGCCTACTTACATCCAGTTGTGTAAAGGGACTGCAACCTATGGGCAGGGGTATATTCACTTGGTTAACACAGACAGTCCCCGAACTCGTAATAGAACTAAAATAAGGAAAATGCGCCCTGACCCTAACACGGTACACATCCTTATTTTTCAATCCTCAATCCTTATTTTTTCAGATTTATTCTCTAGAGATATAGTTCTAGTATGGAGAAATAATTCTAATAAGTAATATATCCGAGTGAATAGTATCAAGATAAACAAAGATTGGCAGAAATAACTTGAAACCGTTACAATGATGATGAATCTATCCAACCCAGGAACACATCAACATCATGGAAGATATGGATTTCACCCACATTTTGCAGGTTAGAGGTTAATTTGTTATTTGGCGCTAATAGTACATATAGATAGTTTGAAGTGTTCTTGTTCTAGTTAAGAAAAAATGGCGGTGCTCCTGAAGTATGTGAACCAAGATGGCGCACAACCTGGACCCTAACTAGGTACAACTACAATGTTCAGGTTGCGCCAAGATGACGTACATACTTCGGGAGCTCCAAAATCGTCCTTCGCCTTTCTCAGCAACTAGATAGATAGATTTCAAATTTCAGGTTTGAAGATGGCCGTTCAGTGGTCGTAGATACAAGTTCAAATATTAAATTAAACAGAGGTGTAGGCAGGGGTGGTTTTGAGTTTAGGATCCGCTAGCTGATACCGTCAAACTTGACAATTAGAGATTTCAGAACTTCCCTCCCTTCGACAATTCGTAGCTACGATTCTGGTATCAACTGCGATTAATTGGAATTTAATACCAATAGGTTGTAATACATATAAATAATGACATAATATATATTTTAGACTAGGTTAGAGTTCAGTCATAATTTTATTTCAATTTTCCTTGTTTCAGTTATGTTACGAGTTTGGTGACCAGCCAAGTGACTCCCGTAGTAATTGTAATTGTAATTATAGCCTAACTCTATTCGGTGTCCGCCATCTTGGTTCACATACTAAGGGAGTACCGCCTTTCCATGTTAAGAATTTTAAATAGGTTTTGGATGTTTTTCATATTCACGTAGGAACAAGATAGAAAGCGACAAAATATTTGTATATCCTAGAGTAAACGCCTTCGTTCGACTTCTCCGCTAGGATTTCTTAGAAAACCTTTTTCGTAATCGGAAAATATTTGAATAATATCCTGATTACTATATTTACGAGATCGTATAACAAAAAATTGACAACTACTTGTATACACAGGATAATTTAACTGAATTTTTTTTATAGTCTTTGTCATAGTTTCGGGATATTTTTCACCATTTTGAGTAGTCATAATTTTCCAGTCTATTTTTGAGTAGACTTTCTGACGCTTACTATGTAATTAAGGACGTTAATTATGAAAATCATACCATGGAAGCAATTAGTTATGAATTGATAAGTAGATTCAATGAATATGTCCATTTTTAACAAGTTGTTATGTGATATTATATGATGAAATAATTGTATGGATTTAAGGAAAAAGTCATGTTGCCGTTGCTTTATTGACAGGCGGGCACGTTTCTATATAATAGAGACGTGAAGGGTAGATATTTCAAGGGATGTTTAAGTTCTGAAACTCTTGTTTTTCATTTTCCTCCTTCCTATTCGATTTGATTTATACTATTCCAACTGGTTGCAATGTAGTAAAACACGAACACTATATTTTATATCACCAAATAAAAACTATAACATTGTAATTCTCGTGTTAGACCCATCGTTCTTGGCGTCGGGATTTGAAGACACCGGTGTAACCGCACACACACTCATGGTGGTATAATTTAAATATTCTGTATAAAGAATTAAAGAGGGCCCGATTATTTTAAGAAAAAAGCACCTCCTCATTGTTAGCGGGTGCTTCACTAGTGCCTTTGATCGGAAGAAAGATAATAGTCAATTTTATAATATGTATTCTAAAAATAATCTTTTATAAATAAAATAAATTTTATTGAGGTTTATTTCAATATTTGTACAAAATTGAATCACACGCAAGCATGGAATATTCTGAATTTGAATATTTTTTTCTAAAAAATAAAAAATTGCTTAAAAATTCTACCATTATGGAATTCTGTAAACCAAAAGCGTTCCAAATTATCACATTAAATCACCCAACTTTCCATCCTACGAATCCCGATTTTCAAATAAGTTCAAAAGAGTTTTTTATGTTGGAAAGCGAAAACGATTCCAGAAAGTACGCGACACACAAAGGCCGCGACAAAGTGGCGTCTATGGAGAAACCTACAATTAAAAACAATTACTATGTATTAGTACCAGCCTACGTGCTATGACTAGAAATCTAATAAAAATTGATAATTTATCGAAGAGTTATCGTAGTATACATTAAGAAAATTTAGGATTCGAAGTAGCCATTATATGTATAAATGTCATATATTATGGGGAACCCCATGTGCCAGTAATAAAGATTATTGATCATGTAGAGTTCAATTAAGTCTATTAACCCTTTTATATGCCACTGCATTCCGCAGATTTCACCACCTCCATTCGATCTCCTATATAGATAGCATTTATGACTTTGAAGTTAAACATACCTATATGATCTCCATAAAGTCTCAAAACAATTTTAAATTGCAAGAAGAATTTTTCGATACCATATATTGTTTTGGTCTTCACTAGGCTTGCACGTAATTTACGGATTTACGGAATTACGTAATTATTTGGAGTTACGGAAGGGAAGTTACGAATTACGTAAAGTCGTAATTATTGCATTGAAACGAGCTTTCTTCAAAGCAGTCAATTTCGTCGATTGCGAAAAATGAAAGCTCAACAAGTAGAAGAGAGTTCCGGTATTCGCAGTCGTTTTTTTCTCTCTTGTTACGTAGGTGAAGGAAGGCACGACGCGTTGCCATTTACTAACCTATTATCAACTTCTCTGGCATGGCCAATGTAAATTATTAACGTAGTTAAGGGGGAAGAACTGAGTAGGGCCGTTTGACGCCAACACACCTGGTTTTAACTTCTCCCGTAACTTAACCGTAGATAAGGGATAGAATTGCGTTGAGACCGATTGACGCTAACGCGCCCGGTTTCAACTTCTTCGGGTGAAATGACTAATGAACGCAGGAGATCAATCTATCAAACATGGTCTATCAAACATTTGTATCCATTTTACTTTTATTTATTATTTACTTGTTCCAGTTTTCCGTTACTTATGGTATATAATATATATGTTCCGTTTCTATTTTATAGTCACGCGTTTAAATAGTGGGAATTCCCCACCAAGTGTGGATTAGCAATGCTTAACCATTCTTTATTGTTAATATCAACACTTGATATATGAACATGGAATATCATACTGTTTTTGGCTGTTTTATTTCAGACTTGGGGTATAAACAGGAAAATATCCATAACCTTTCAACACGACGATCTTGTGAAATTTAACGAAGAGCTTTCACGACGAATTAGAACCAAATAAGCGAAAAGAGCGATTGATCACTCGCGCCAACACCTCGCCGTGATAATTAATGTCGCGCTTATCAAATAGCAATATGACGACAAAAGAGAGATTGCGTAATGAACCAACGCAACTTCGTCTTCTCGGCATCGGTAAAGCGATTGAGACGGCAGAGAAACAGCTAAACGACGGATTCCTCGCGCCTTAACTTGCTCATGATGTTTTTCACAATTCCTCTCAATATTTCGGCCATATATGATTAACTGTCTTACCAAATGCGGCAACTTATTTTGATTTATCGTCGACTTGAATACCACCGGCACTCGACCAAACTTGTGTCAATCTTGGCCGATAGGATCGCCGACTTGAGTTAGCAAATAAATGTCGTGAGTGTAAAATAAATGTCACAAAATGCATTGTTTTGCGATATAACTTTGTGTTTTCGGAGAAGGCATATCATATAAGTTCCATATTTAAATTATACTCAAATAAATAATATTTAATCTAAATTTATCGCAAATAATGTTATAAACATTCAGTCCGCGAAATGATTAAATGTAAAATGAAGCATGGTAATCGGAATATCGTCAATAAGTCGACATCAATAATTATTATTATAAAATGCTAACAAGGCAGTAATGTCGGATAATGCAGAAGACGCTGCAAAAACAAGTCTTCGTCGCGAGGAAATCGCAAGTATAATCAAACGAGAGAATACGCTCGTCGTTAGTTAATAAATTAGAAACTCGTTATTTTTATTCAGCACTAAGGTGGTTTTAAAAAACTATCGTTTCCATAAATATCCGTATACGATTGTCGGTAATGATAAAATAAAATTGATCGCATAAAAATGAGACGGTTAGTTTGCGAAGGTGATAAAGGAAAACCAAAGCTAACACAAAAGATAAAAATCAGAATAAAATTAATTTGAATTCACTCCTTGATATTTGTCTTTAACATCTGCCGACGGCGTGTACTACTGCCAAGAATATGAAAACCCAACTTCAATGTCCCATTCGGAAAAGAAGTGGATTCAATCGGTTGTTATGATAGGTTTAAATGCGTGGAAAAATATCGCAATTACGGGGTCATTACGTAATTGATTTTGCCGTAATTACGGAATTGATTTTTGTCAATTACGTGCAAGCCTAGTCTTCACAGATGTATTAAATGAAGTAAAAATACTTGAACAATAACTGGTTAAAAAACAACAAACCTGGTTAAGATATATTGAGTACTGAATTCATAACAAAATTGAAATTGTAAAGGGATTTTATGGACACCCTGTATGTCCTTCGATGTGCGTGTTGTAACTAACGGTAGCTAAGCTTGTAGGTCCCAAAAATGTTTTAGTGAAATCAAAGCTAAAATCAGAATGCAATTCTTGCCCAATTTTTGGCCCTTAGTGTGTGTACCAGGTTAGAGTTAGGCCATAAATTTATTCCGATTTTCCTTATTTAGTTCTGTTACGAGTTCGGCGACTGTCAGTGTTAGCCAAGTGAATATACCCCCTGCCCATAGGTTTCAGTCCCTTTATACAGTGAAGTAGGCGAACAAAATTAGTTACCTCCATATTGGTACACATACTTCTGGAGCGTTCTATTTTTATATGGAAAAGTATCAAGGTAATGTCACTTATAAATTACATTGAGAGCAACTGCTATTTGACTTTGAGGCATGCATGAAATTAGAAAGAAGATCATCAGTGTCAAGACGACTTGACTACCTTCCAAATCATATAACGTTTTAGTTCATCACATGAGTTTGGAGATTTTTTTTTAATCATTGAGTCGAACTTTGAAAAATAAAATATAATCATATCATTTATATCCGAGTTTGGGCCATTCCATAATTTTAAAAAATTGAAAAAAAAAGGATCCATGGCAGAGTTTGCGTGACAGTACTAAATATTAATTGTTTGATTTAAATACAAAATTGTTCTTATTGAAAGTAAAATATTTAATTACCATAAGTGGTAGGTTATAATTATCCTACAAGTGAATTAACCCTTCATGAAATCGGCTAATTTTAGTTCCTGTTCGCGGTAATTACACCTTCGCAACTTTAATCTGAATAATAAGGGGCGGCGATCATCGCTCATTTTGTCTTTCTATCGAATGTTTGTGCCAAGAATTTTGCCAACAATTCTTAGATTCCTCCATTTAAAATAGATTGGTAATAAACTGTAAAGTTTATTCTCAGTTTATTTTCCCATTTAAGCATGCACGCATAATAATTCAGCAATTTCAATGTACCTATAAAAACTTAGCAACTTGCCCTTCGAGAGGAAAACGTTACTTTGTGGTTCGAAAACAGCATAAGAAACGTCTCAGATTGGTTACGAAAGGAAATGATGAAATTGTGTTTGAATTCGAAATATTGCCGCAAAAAGCAAAGTTTCTACCCCTAAATTAATTAATGAATTTACAACATATGCGTATAAAATTGTGAAGATAATTAAAAAATCTGTTATTTCCGTCTTCGCCATTTTAGAGCGCACGCATGGTCATTTAGCAATTTAAAAATAACTATGAATATTCAGCTAATCAAATTGAAATGTAGTGAATGGGATACACTCGTTCAACGAGGTCATGTACTTTTTTATTGGTATCTTAATTAGTTGATAACGACAAAACTGAAATTTTGTAAATGATAACCTTTGATGTTGATGTTGTAATTCAAATGAAAACGATTTGCATGAAATTTAAGAACTTTTCTATAAAATAGTAATTAGGAATTGAGGAGACATTTTTAAAAGTAATTTAAAATTCCCTTTCAAGTACATTTTTTGAACATTCTCATTGATAAACGGTTTTGTCAAGTGTGAAGTGTTTTAATTTCCATTCTTGGATTAAAATTTCGATTCCTATTATATTCGCGAATGTAGAACGGAAAGCGATGAGATGAAATATCTTGAAAGAGAAGTGAAAACTCAAGACAGTAAATGATTTTACTATAAAGATAGAATGCATCGTAAACGAAGTGCTTTTAAACGAAGTGTAGCATATAGGCCTACATGTAATCTCTTTTTATCAAGTGAGACCAAATACCCTAAGTCAGGGCTGGGCGATTAGCCAATTATTTTTTTGAATGGGCCGATTAAAAATAATAGACTTGGTTACTGGACCGGGACACAGAACTCAATATAAAAAACTATGAATAAAAACAACTTAGTAATAACAGCTAATCAAAGAGCTTGACTAACGTTTATATAATATTAAGGAGCATAATGTAACAATCGGGATCGTTATAACGTGTTTTTCATTGATATTCTCATCAAAAGTTCATATTCATAAAAACTATTTGTTTTCTCGGTGAAATATGGTACAGGATTCTCTAAGAGTAGTGATGCGGACACGCTGTACTGTAGGGTTTTTCGATTTACTGCATGCTGGTATAAATGTTACAAACTAGCGAATGCTAGTTAATTTAGTTTATTTTTTTTTAACAGTAATGTCTTTGATATTCCAATATTACCTTGCGGTTAGAAACGACAGAGATTTGCGGTTGTCCATAGAAACCGTTCACAAAGGTCGATCCATAGAAATGCGATATGTCGGCAACATTCAGAATATCAATTTTTCGGATTTATTTCCGGTATTTAGTAGATCACACATGCTAATTAGAATTTAATACAATTGAAAGCACAAGCATTTGAATGTTCTAACCACAAACGCCAATCAAAGGGTAAAATTACTCAGAATAGAGAGGCAATGAAAATGTAAGAATACGCTGACAAGGAAGGTCGAAGAGCAGGTCGCGGTCACAATCGTCATAGAAATACGTTGTCAGTAATTGTCAAACAAAACCGCAAGCAATTCATAATTTGACTATTTAGAAATGAATAAATCTGGCAACCTTCGATCCTTTAATATAAAATTTATAAATAAATTTTGAATATGAATGAAATAATCTTTTTCCACGAATAGCAAGTATATCAGTGAGCTTACGTAAGAGCAACATTTTCAAACCGGGAAAGTATTCGCTCAATATTTGCTGTAGTACAACTGTTGATATTCTTGACTATTATTACTATAATGGCTATTAAGGTACTCCCGAAGTATGTGAACCAATATGGCGGACACCGAAACGTAGTATGTGTACCAGGTTAGGGTTAGGCCATAATTTTCTTCAAATTTTCCTTATTTTGGTTCTGTTACGAGTTCGGGGACTAGCCAAGTGACTCCTGTATTTGTACCTGAATGGTGGCCTAACCCTAACCTGATACACATACTACGTTCCGGTGTCCGCCATCTTGGTTCACATACTTCGGGAGTACTGTTTTTTATACACACAGAAACTACCCAAACTTCAGAAAAGCGCGAATGAGACTCGCGCTTAACGCTATCAAAAAATCCATTAAAAATTGAATAAAATTAGATTTTATGCGTAAGGAAGGAGGAATGAAGAGTTCCAAAATAGGCGAAGGAGATAAAAGAGTGTGTATAAAGTCCTTATATTTTTTAAATTGCAAAGGAAATTTATCGATATCATATATTGTTTTGGCCCTCACAGATGTATTCAATGAAGTAAGAATACTTGTCTTGAACAAGTAATGATCCAAAAAATATCTGGTTAAGATGTATTACAAAACTAACAAAATTTAAATTGTAAAGGGACTTTCTGGACATCCGTTATATCGAAAAAGTTTTGGAATCACTGGGTTAGACCACGGTCTAACGTCTCCAGACAAAACAAGATATAGCTACAAAGTTCAATTGCCGGGCCCAGTTATTTCAATAAGATTTTAGAAATACGGAAATAAAATAATTTCGTCTGCGGGTCTGCCCCATTTTGGCTGTCCAAGCTAATTAATATGGATAGAGAATAAATAAATTTATATTTGCAAAGTCGAACGTTAAAATGAAAGTGACTGTAAATAAACTACAATACGCAAGTGCTCTTGTCATAGCTTTTCATCAAAATGCAACTCTTTGCAAGATAGCAGATACGACTTCGAGTTAATGGATATTTCGAGATGATTCGTATGATAGTTTTCTTATCCATAGTTAACTTGGAATCATAACCGGACATAAGACTGTGGTGCGTAAAATAATTGAGCCGCCCTATCAGCTTTCCTTGCTTAGGGGATAAACCGTATATGAAAATCCTGTCCTAATCCGTGTTAATGTCCGACAAGGGTTGCAAGTCGAAATATTTTCTTAATTTTACAAAGCTCACGGGCGCCACCTTGCTACTTTATAATTATGATTTGTTGTGAACAAAAAACGAGGGTTAAATATGATTCCAATAAATCCAGACCCATAGCGTTTCGCTTGTCTACTTGCTAGGGTCGCGAATAAAAATAACTATCGTATTATACAGGCCATACGGCGCTCTATCGATAAATTGCTTTGATTGGTCTACTCACACATAAGGCGCACAGGCTATAATATGCAATCCGTGCTGGTACTGGTTTTAAGTGCAGGCAAGAAAGCATAAAGCATTACTACTAGATCCATACATAAGACGCAACCGGCTTATAAGTCGTACCATCACTTTTTGAGAAAAAATAAGTTTATAAGTGATAATAAGTTTTATGAGTGTACCTTATGTGTCTGTAAAATAGGACAAGCTTTTCAGCGGCCAGCAATATTAGTAATAAATAACTGTAACTCTTTCTATGTGTCGTTTGCAGGTTTGAGTTATTTTTTGAATGAACGGCTATGTGGATCGCTTTAAACCCGGCCATTACCGCTACTTAAAAACGTACTTTAAAATCTACTTTCACCCTAGATAGATTTTGGTTCATCTCACTTGAGATAAAAAGTTGTTTCATTAGGGGTTTGCAGTACGATATGCATGGAGTGACTTTTGTCAATACATCACTCCTTTATTCTTGTGGTAACTTTTTCTTGTAGAATGGTTCATGAATCCGCTAGTCGGCTTGCTCTGGGGCGTAGCCGGGGGAGGGAAGGTAATTGTCAGAACACCCTCTTTGTAAATGTAAAAATAAAAGCATCTTTCTGCATCATACAAAGCACTTTTTCGTAGCTTGAAATGCTTTTTAGACCCTTAAGACTTTTGAAAACAGACTTTTTCCGGCGGTATCCTGTTACGGTCTGTCTAAGTTAGAAAACTCCTGGCTTCAACTCTGCGCTTTCTTCTTAATTCATGATCATGCCTCTTGAATTCTAATTTGGTTAGATATTTACAATATTCCATACCAACCTAGATTGGACCGGAAACCATACTATGGGCTATGATTGTTCCCATAATTACACAGTCTTATCTCATTCCTCTACCCCAAAAAAACGGAGAAAACTGCTAAATATCTTAAATTAGAATGAGAGAATAACTCACAACATTGCTGCAACTTCACGCATGAATGAGATGGCTTTTCCTGTTGGTTGACCAATCATCTGCGATGAAGATTCAATCTCACTTTCATTTTGCACCAAGGATATATTTGCTGAGGCATTTCCAGGCTGAAATGTAAATGACATTAGAGAGAGAGAGTTTATTTCCTTTTGTCAAACCAAAAAAAACAAAATATACATTCACATATAAATATCAAATAAACAGATGCTTTCGGTACATGACTGCGAGGCAACGATACAACCTTTAGGGGTCGACATTAGATGTCATTGTTATTTAAAAAAAATAATTGAGAGTAGAATTTTCCAAATTCATAATGAAAGTTTAAATATAATTATAACCAATACCTCTCTACCGGTTACTAGTACTGATCAGCATCGAAAATAACAAACTTTAAAGGCCAGTTGTGGGTCAGAAAATCGAATTGAAATTAAGCCTGCAAATGCAAGCTATGTCATATTGATGTTTCTTTATGAATTGTTACTTGAAGAAATCCATACTCTACATAGAGTATGGAAATCAGTATTTTTTAAAGGTGTAAAATTGTAGTTCTTTAAAGATAAGTGACTTCTTGTATAGAGCCTTGTTCAAAGTGGATGTATAATAAATATAATAAACTAGCCAACTAACGCAATACTGTCTCTTGGTTAGCAACTTAATGGAAGGTTCTTTCTTTTTTACAAAACCACTCAATATTTGCCTAAGTCTCATTGGACATGCTCAGCTATGAATAGCAATTAACTCATTCTCAACTCCCGTGGTTAATTGTATGGTACGTTGTGAATCCCGGCATTACTGTGTCCAATGTTTTAATAATTTTGTATAGTGCTTCAATTGTTTGCTGCTAGAATTTACCCAAAGACTTTAATTTCAATTTTTCGCAATATTCTTCAATCATGCATATGATGGCCAACAAAGGATGGAGTGCTGGCATCACAGTTCGAGATCTCAAGTCCTAGAAAAACCAACTCAATTTATCTAATACAGGCATGAACAAATTACCAGTATGATGATACACTATTCTGGCTTTTCAGAGGCAAGAGGTTCAATTATCAAACAAATATTGACCCGACTGGCCAGCACTCAAAGATGAGACCTCTAACATGGCATAACAATATTTAATTGGATGAGTATATTAATGAGATTAATATGCATATTATATGCAGCAAAAATATCTCGAGTCATTTTCAAATAACAAAAGCATTTAGAAATGAAGCATACATTACAAATATTAATTACGAAACATACATTATACTTTTCTTCAAACTCGTCCCATCCACGTGATTTCTCCATCTTTGGCTTTTTCTTATGCTTTGACATGATTGACAAGCTTCAAAATAAAATTGAAGCGCCAACGATCAAATTGTTGATCAGTGCGCATCAAAGTTATACCTGTGAAATTGAAAAAAAGAGAGTGGAATTAATCTAGCTGATTCAGCTCTATTAATATTATGTTTCGTCCAACACATGTTGGATAAATTTTGTCTCCAGTGAATGGATAAACGTTTTTAATATAAAGTATCGGGTATCAATGATGTGGTTCACAATTCTATGAGAAGCTGAAATGAGCTCATGCCAAAGTAGAATATACCCAGCAAAGCACTGGTACATATAAATCAGTGGATCTAGTCTATTGTGGGACATTTTAATTTCATTACAAACCAAAATTTAACTCTTTCGGTATTTACATTCTTATCAGTTTTATTAGATTCACGCAGCAGTCATGCTTATTCATTTCCAAAGCTGGGAGGAATGTTTTTACGTGTAGAACAAAAGGGGTATTTAGTTTGGTATGATTTGGTCTAATCGTAACCCAGTGGTTAATGGGACATACAATATTGAGAAAACGACAGAAAACTTTGCAAATAATATTACCTTATTCTAATATTTTAGGCATCATATACTTCCCACAAATTAGCTCAATGACATCAGACACATTGGCAGTCATTTATCTTTACAGCAATAGATTTAATCCAAGGTCTAGTGCAATTTGGAAATTTCAGGTATTATTAATAGTGATTAACTCATGACAGTATGAATAAGTGCTGCAAAAACGACCTAGCAGCGTTGCCAAAACTTTTTGAGCTGCGAACATTCTGACCAACCACGCTTCAATGACTCCCGAGGGCTAAATTATAGGCTAAAAATAGAATTAGTCTACATACAGACATAAAAATGAATAAACTCAATTGTTGTCAATCAGCCATAAAATTCGAAATCTTACCTTTAAATGACAATGGTTCACAATTTTGTTCGACTCTTGTTCATTCAAAATGCCATGGTTTCTTCATATCACGAAATTCAATTCGGACCTACAGCAATAAGTAGCAAAACAGCTAAGCCAACAACGTGCTCAAAAGAGTTTTCAATTTCAGCGCACGGAAGGGGATTTCCCTTCGATTCGGTAAAATTGTGACTCTCGGTTCCAACTGGTGGTAGCAGTGATGCCGCACGAGGCAGCAGCGGACCAAAATTAGAGTGTCTCTCTTTCGCGAAATGCTACTTTAAATGTTGCAATAATTAAAAAAAAGCTCCTATGTCCGGGACTTTTCCAATGGTAAAAAGCAAATGTATTAGAATACAATATTGGTTTATACATTAGTCTGCAAACGAATATGTGAACCCATGTAATCAAAATACGGCAATAGTCTCACGAAATGCACATATGTCAAACCATTCTCATATTTGTTTCCGATGGGTAGCTGGACTGCAAAATATTGTCTTTCAGATTCGTTTATCAGCTTTATTTTTACTGGATAAATGTGATAATAAATGATCTGTGCTATAAATCAGAATTTTGCTCATGCGGCGCGATGAGAGCAAAGACTGTCTACAAACTGTTCAAATTAGAGGTGCAATGTTGTTTGCTTGATATCACGTACCAAAACTATACGTTTAAATTTACTTATCTGAAAGTCTGAGACAGGGTATCCACGATGCGGTACTTGAAATCAGCACGTACGCACACTCACTGTACAAACACGCAATATATCATTTTATTATCTGTGTCGAAACTGATTCGAATGGCACGGACATTGTAACAAAGTGGATTGCAGATAGAAGAAAAGAATTATTTTTGTGGCCAGCGTTGGGTGGGGCATGACTGTAGCTAGAAAATAAAACATGTTGACCGCATAGTGGCGGCAAAGGACAGTTTGAGGTAGACTTTACTGGACGCTGTTGGACATCAGTCTGTAGGCAAAGTTAAATATTTTGCGACATGTGCTGCATTACTTCCATAATACTGTTGCCATTCCGTAACTTTTTTGTAATTATTTTAAATTTCAGATATGATTTGTCTTTTTTCTCTTAGCAAATTTAAAAATCAAACCTGTTTTGTAAGAGTGTTCTGAAAACGATATATAATTCTAAAATCTAAATGGAAAAAAATGAGACAAAATATATGAAAATTTGCATATTAGTAATAAGCAGTAAACACTCTTTAATCTTCTGACACAGCTTTTCTTGATTTTAATCTATTTAATTATGAAATACTTTCAACTGGAAAGAGTGTATATTTACTCTTATTTATTTTATGTAGTCAGAAGTGCATCAGATATAAATTGTTATTAATATTTAATCCTTTTCTTTATTGTTATTAACTCTGTGATTTGCGAATTCATTGCAATATTTGATAGCCTAAGGAGATAAGAAAAGATCCCCCATAAGTAATACAAATTCTTTGAAATATTAGAACTTTAGCTTGCCATCGAATTTGAATTGGTTGACAAAACTTATTCATCAATTGATCATATGATAAGTAGTCAATCATCGAATAACCGCACGACATGTATATTCGTCATGAATAGCTGGAGGCAACGTTTTTCATGTGTTATCTCCAAATAATCGTGTAAACAGAAAAATAATTAAAGATGAAATACGTTTTTTAGATTGCAAAAGTTATGCTCAACGCGCAAATAGTCAGTAAACTTCAGCCTTTACGTTTCTCTAGACATTTTTTCTGAAATGCTCCAACACTCTGTATAATAGGAACAGAAATTCGTCTTTATTAGGCAAAGTGGTTTGGTATTGGATATATTAGATAACCATTATTTCACGATGACCAACTAAAATATATAACGCTATTGTTACATCTGTTTTGACTAGGTCGCTATGTTCAGTTTTACAACATGATGCCGTTGAAATGTTGGAATCGGCACAATATTGTTTTGCTTCGGCTTGATCACTCTAATGTTTATAAAACCCAGCAAATGTTTGTGCAATTTGAGTTTGCAAAATTAAAAAATCGATACCCCCTTTTGCAAGCCACCTATAATGTATATTCTATCCAGAGCAATTAGACTCAATTTCGGTTGCACCAAAAATTCTCTTCGAGTCAATACTGTCGTTGGTTTTCGTTCTGGGGCGTTACAAAAAGCTTTGTGCTTTGTGTGTTGTCGTCTGTTGAACAATAGATGCGTCTGTGATGTAATAAAGAGAGAAATAAGATAGAACGAGTGCAAACTTGAACTTGGACACGGTTGAATGATGTTGGGTGTGAAAATTCCAGTTCTTATTTGAGATTATTTTAGCCCGATCGAGCTTGTTATCTAGATGAGGAGTATTTTTTTATGTAAATCATAGATGGCACGCAGATGATTAGAATAAATATATCTAAAGCAAGAAATTGAGTTGCTGGCTCGCTATAAGTCATTAAAATGTAAGATTAGCTGAGAGATCGTTCCAGTGCGATACAGAGGCCTTAGGTATTAGCTTTTTGCTGTTTAGTTTACTTAGTTCTTTTTAAGGAGTGGTTTGACAAGGTGGTTCGATTTGCCTTTTTCGTGGTTTCTCTCGCCGATATTTCCGAAAACCGTCGCCATTTTGATTGGTCCGATAAATTGGGCACCCTTTGACCTACACTGTCGTTAACACCCATAAAATCAAAATGGCGTATTGCTGTGTTTCTTGCTTTTAAAGCATTATTAATTCAGAAGATGTACTTCGATCATAATCTTCAATATTACTGAATTTAATTAAAACCATAATCAGACACGTTTTCTAAAGTGCTACTGAAAATTTACGAAATTCACTACTAAGCTGGTACCTATAAAATGTCTCTGGTTTGTGCTCTCTGTTCCATTAGTGACTATTTTCGCCAATTAAGCGTACGATATGCTTACTGTTAGATGGGATTCTATTCTGAGCGGTAAAGACACACAGAATATTCAAAACAACATTTTTCGTTAATTATTGCAGGGTTCCAAACCGGAGATTGTCTTTTGCTTTCATTGTAAAAATACAAAATGTATTTCAAAATTTATGTGAAAGTTATAGAATTACCCCGGCACAATCAACAGCATCCTTGTAATGTTTATACTCAGTAATTAGTTATTGGTTTGTATTCAGCATTATTTCTGGCGACAAGTTGCTTGATAACTTTATCGGAAGAAAACCCAATCAAAAATGTTCCGATGTTCGCATTTGGTAAAATATTTATTAGATGGATCACGTTGAAAATTGTTACATAATAATATTTAATTATAAATAATAATTTTATCATTCTAGTGAATAGTGATCTTTCTGCCTAGAGATATAATATCGCTGTGTAGTGTTGTGACTTTTAATTGAACAATACTGCAGACGCTTTTTGCCACACTCCATCAAAACAATATTTAATATCTTATGTGGTTAAATTGTTGATATAAATATTTTCTTGTGTGATATTTCTACTTTTGAAAGTTTTAAATATATGCGTCATTTATAGCAAGGTATACTAGACCTCATTTCAGCTGCATGGAATTTTGTATAAAAATGATTTAAAAAGTAATCTCATCACTATTGTTGTTAGTTGAAGTATAGTTGAGCTGTCCCTCTCGGGCTTTCGGTGGTATATCGTCACATATCTTATAACCCCCAGTCTAAAATAATTGTCCACATTATGTACTAATGATGTATTATTACATCATTCATCGGTGCAGAATATTTAATTTCTTCGTTTGGTTCCATCCATACGCAACACCCGTTATTCAAAGTGGGATATATTACTAAATTAAGTTGAACGAAAATTCACAAGCCATTTAACTCAAATATGGAAATGATCACTGTACATGGGAAAACAGACATACGTAAGAAAATTTTGAGGTGGAAGCCTTTTTTAAGTAATTGCTGATGTAATCTTCGGCGTAATCTGGAAGCACCCAGTGGTCCAAAATTAATTTACCTACTCGCAAAATCGAAAAAAGCCCCTATAGCATTCAACTTCTAGATTGCAACAAACTTTTAGATCCCTTTAAGCTCAAGTACTATCCCGCGTTGGTAGTAATTCCTTGTATGTGTATGGTAACACTTGAAAACGTCAAAATACCTAATTCCTAAATTGGTGTTAGATCTCGGAATAAATTACGAAATTTCCTCAAAACGATTTTCTAAACAATAAAAATGTCGTGACTAATTTTGTTAAATATTTTCCTGCCATGGACTTCGTTTTAATTAAAATTAATTTTTAATTTGGAGAATTGATAAAAAAAATAGAAATTTCTCGTATTCGTGAGGTGGAAATTTAAATTAAAACCTAATTAACTTTAAAATAAGTCACAGTTCTCTTTGATCAATACAAATTACACGTTGATTTAAAATTATTGGAACATTACGGATTGCTGGAATGTTGAGAATGTCAGCTACTAATGAACGTTCTGTAATTCCTTAATTAAGTGTTAATATCGTGGAAATAAAAAATAAAAACTCAAGAATATTAATGTTTGTGAGATATTGCACACTGTGAATTTTTAAATTGTTATTTAGTCTCTGAAAGAGCGTAGTTTTTTTTATATTTTTGGTAGGTGAGCCGTTTGTTGAAATGGGCAACTATATTTGAGAACTTGCGCTCATGATTTGGTTTCTGCAAGACTAACTACTTATTCTTCTTCTATGCTTTTGTGCCGGTTGATCCGTATGCATATAATGCAAGGATGCTGTAGCAAGAGTTGAAGATAACTATCCTAGGTTACTCAAGAGTCCTGCTGCACACTGACACAAATATATTTCTGTAACGTTTGGTCTGGCCAAGACACACATAGTTCAACTATTGATAGATGAATTGTGTTGGTGTGCAGCAAGACTCTTGACTCACTTAGTATATTTGAGAATACTGCAAAACAATTCCCTTTTATATTTGTACATATTTTATCACTTACATTCTTGCTGATTTATTTTAAAAACTGTGCTTGTGTGCAAATTCCAACCTATCGACTAATTTCGTAGTACACATACTAATGTGCGACAAAACTGCATAGTCCTGCGCAAATCAGTATTTCTGAACGTATTTTGGCACCAACACAAATGTTAATCCTGGTAATGTTTATGCTAACATTTGTGGTTGTTCAAATGGCAGTTAAAAGGTAATCTGATATTGATAACGCATTTTAGGGAAATGCAA